AATGCATGCATCGAATATAAAGATACAACGACAACTCACTTACAAACACTCGTTCGTTCCACCGTCATCGAGAACATAGCCAGTCTCTCGGGGTACAACAGCTCGCATTATATAAATATGGATACGATCGCGCTATATCTTTATAGCTGAAATTGTTATAAATGTTGCTCGGTGGAGCAGTCGCTTCAGTTCCATTTTTCCGGCTCCGAATGTGCTGCTTTTTTTGCTCTCCCGTCACTTCTTCCTTTTGCTGTGCAGGTTTTGTTCATTTGTTCGTTCGTTCATTCTGCATGTGGCGGTTTTTTGCCGTTGCTGCTGCTGCTGCTTTCACCCGATTCCATCAGCCCATCTCTTTTCCATTTTAATTTCTTCGTTTTCTTTTCGCCCAACAAATGTGCACTTGGGTTTCTTGTATTTTTTATGCTCATCGTAGTTCCGACGCGAAACTACGGAAAATCAACGATGTCAAATTGTATTCAACACCAGCATAAGCGAAATGCGAGCTCCGCGGAGCTCACTTCTTCTTGCTGTTCCAAGCATAAAATCCAACAATCCAAAAGTACACGCATAAGCGATTCTCATTTCATTTGACTTTGGTTCCGTTGATGTGTTCTTGGGTAGTGCTGCTGCTTTTGCCGTTCTTCGTTCGTTCGTTCGCTCGCTTGTCGTTTATGTACACATATTCCTTTTCGCTAGCTCACTCTCTTGTTCTCCGATTCTCCGGCATAATGTGGCATATTCGTGTCCTGAGAGTGTGTGTAATGCTCGTTATACTCGTTGTTGTTATATTATAAGAAAATTGAATGTGCATAGCGCGTCAACGTTTTCGACGAAAACGTTTGTTAAGCGAGAACCGCACACAGCATACCGAAGAAACGAACCCGACTAACGTTTCAATCGCATACAAAAAAAGTCGGGCGTAAAAATTTATCGGCTTCCCGTACATCACACACAATATATACAAAATTGTACGAAGTTCTCCTCTCTCTCTCTCTCTCGCATCTTTTTTCCGCCACTCTTTGCTTTTGCTTTCTGCGAGTTGGAAACGAACGTAGAAGCAGACAAGTAGAAAAAAGAGACCTGAAGACACAACATCACCCAAACAGCAGCATCAGCATCAGCATCAGCATCAACAACAACATCCAGCTCTTGGATGGATGAGATGCGATTGCGATGTGAGGTTTTGTGTATATTCGTGCTTCGAGTATTTCGACTTTGACTTCAACTTCGCCGTCGTTTCCAAGCCGAGGGAGAGAGAGAAATGTAGAAGAGAAACATGGTTCGCCTAATGCTTCGAGCTCCAAAACATCCAACCAACTGAAACATTTAATTCTATTTCACAAAACGACAACGATGACAACAATACAATGACAATCGAAATGTATTTATGCCTCATACGCGCTAGCTGCTGTAGATAGAATCAAGGGGAGTCCCATCCATGGAATTGCACCGAACTGAGCAGATCTGTGCAAAACGAAACGTATATTTTGATTAGTTTGTTACTTTTGTTGTAGCCGATCACTCTCTCCCACACTCAAATATCTCTCGTTCTCTCCGCACACTCGTTCCATTTTGCCGAAAAAAATGTTCATGCCGAAATCACTTTAAATGCCCTCCGTTTGTCGTGTGTATGCATGGAGAAAACACCGCAACACCCATGTACATCTAAACGCACCAAGTGCGCTTCGGTTACATTTGTTTTTAGACTCAATGCTGCGGCTATAAATGTCTGTTGCACTAACAGTATACAAGTGTAAAAATCGCGGGTTTTCCATGTCCGTTCTCTCTATCTCTATCCATTTGCTCCTTCTGGTGGAATTGTTTTTCAACGTCTCCATTTTTTATGGAATTTCCAATTCGTCCTTTATCGCCGGGTCTGGTGTGCAAGTAAATATCGGCAATTAAATTCACCGCCTTTGCAGGTTCGGCATGTGTATGTGTCACTCGGTTTCTCTATCCCTCTCTCACTCTCTATCTCTCTCTCTATGTGTGCAGCAAGCATGAGCACTTTGAGCGCGCACAAGATTAATTTATTAAATGACACTGATACACAGGGATATAGCGCATACAACACGCATCCAAAATGGTATTAGCATTGTGTGTCGACGGAATAAATACTCACACAAACAACGACCGATGGTGAGCAAGCAAGCGAACGAACGAACGAGCGAATAAAATTTGCTCGACTGAACGTAGATAGCGTATGTATTTTGATGATTTTGTTGCCCTCCGAGGTTCTATTACCGACGTAGGTGCATTCGAATCGCTCTCTCGCTCTCGCTCTTTTTTTCCCGAATGTACATACACCCGAACATGTTAACATTAAAAATATATTAACATTTTCAGCGATGGATCATGCGAAAAATACTGCAAAATTACCGCGCTACACTCCATATGACAGCACAGAAGAGAAAAAAACGCCATACTGGAGATAGAGTATGATGCGAGCGAGAGATTATTTTGCTTTTTTTCTGTGTATGATTTCGTTGCTGCTGGTTGTTATTCTTTTTTGTCATAATTTTCTACGAATTATAGAGCATTTTTCATGCGACGTATGACGATGAGCTCGTTCGGTTTGTCTCTCGGTTCTCGCATAATTTTTTTGTTCCATAATATACAACTGGAAATGGCTTCAGTTTTTGCCGCTATGACATTTTACTTCGTTCGAAATCTAATTAGCTCCATCATCATTTGGCTGGTGGTGGTGGTGCTGCTGCTGCTGCTGCTGCTGCTGCTGCTGCCACTGATGCAAAACAAGCTTAACAGACAATAATTTTCAATATGTGCCGAATTCCACATGGCTGCGCCACGGATTATGACAAATGGATTGAATGCGAAACTCGGTTCGCTCTCCGGCATCTGTAAACTAAATTGTATTTTCATCATAATTTTAGATATTTATCCGATAAAGCCGCTATTTCTTTGTGTATGTACATCCTGTTTTTTCTTCGGATGAAATCGAACAATGCGATTGTCAAAGCAGTCAGTCACAAAAGCAAAGAATGATGAAAAAAATGACAGAAAAAAGGAAGAGCAAATGATCGACGAAAAAAAAATCCTATTAGAATGGAAAGAAAAAGCGTGCTGACAACGCGCTATAATTTCCAGAATCGAAAAATGAAAATTGCGCGCGCGTTTTCTTCCGAATAGATTGTGTACAATACGAAACAGCCGATATCCACATGTCAATTTTATTATTGGACAATTTTTCTCCTTTCCATTCCACTCGCATTCTTTTCCATTTAACCTCTCTTTAATTTATTGTTGATGTTTTTTTTCCTCAGCGCCCCCTTCTTCTGCATTATTTTTTCTTTTGATTTTGATCTTGCTTGGTCTATCCGCGTGTACATGCCATTCGTAATCATTTTTCTCGATAACATTTTACGCAGAAGACTCATGGCATGGTTGCACGTAGATGCAAACACGTACACATAGAGAGGCAGAGAGATCGAGTATGTTATGTGTATGTGTGTGTGTGTGTGTGTGTTCAGGTATCGAAAGAGAGGATATGGTTTTTTTTTATGAATTGACTGACTTCAAAGAAGAGAGAGAGAGCAGAAAAGAAACAAGCACGAGAAGAGTTCTCATTTAATTGAACAACAACAAAAACAACGGCGTCAATGACGACGACCACGACGACAACAAAAACCATGCTCATTGGAATGGGTCGTCATCATCATAGTCGTTGTGCTTGTCGGTTGCTTGCTTGCTTGTTTTTTCTTTCATATTCATTTGCACGTCATTTTTCAGGGAAATATTATTTCATTGTATGGCCTGATCCACGGTAATTGATGAACATAGCAATACAGTGGACGGCCTGTACTCGACGCATGTTTCACTGTTCGCTTACAATTTCGTTTTTCGTCGTTTGTCTCTTCGATGTTATTTTTAATACAAACAATATGCTTATTAGACACATTGACTTAGGTGTTACACGGTGCACATTTGACACTTTGAAACACACATCAAATTCTGTCTGCGTTGACGAAAAATCAAAAGCATGCAAAATTTCCGAAGGAATGAGTGTACAGATAGATAGAAATGAAGACACACAAAACCATTACAGCAACAATTCACATAATATTGCGAATACAAAACAGACAAGAAGAGATATATGTAAAAATGAAAATGAGTCATAAAGTCATCAGAGAAGCATTAGGTAAACAACGAAAGAAAGACAGAAAGAAATGAGAAGAAAACGAAGAGAAAAATAAAATAACAAGAGGAGAAGAGATTCATTTTTGTGAATTAAGGCGCTATTCAATACTGATGCCGTGCGCGCTGCTAATGTTGTTGTCGCACTGTGGTTTTTCTCTCATTCGTTCGTGTTTTGCTTGTGAAATCAACTTGACAGGCGGTATGCGAACGCAATGCATGCATGAATCAAAAGAATACATAAATGGGATAGTCATCGTAAATAAATCCGTTTGGCAATGCGTATGTATGCAAACCGTCTCTCGGTCTCACTCACTCTCTCACTGGCTCTTTATGTAAACACTTTACTGCACATACGAAGAATTTTAAGTTTTAAATCCAAATGCTTAAAATGCCGGGTCGGTTGAATGTATTTCAATTTGGCATTCATACTACAACATTTTTTTTTCTCTTCGTTCATTCGTTAAATTCTCTCTCTTTCTCCGTCCCAGTCTCCCGCTCTCCCTCTCTTGCTATATATCTCTGTTTTGAAGCGTGTTTTTATCTGCTACAGGCGATTTATTACCCAAACAATTATCGTTCGGAATATTTATTGTTGTCAATGCGTGACACGATATTCATTTCTTGATTCATTGTTTCTGTACGTTTCGCTGTCATGCGATCATTTTAGTTTTTTTTCCCTCCACATTCGGTTTTTTTCGCCTTTCATATGAAAATATATCTTTTTTATTTCGATATATACATAGTACATAATATTCGGTTTTTTATTTCGTGAGCTGTGAATACACGAGTAACACGTTTTTGATTATCATATTTTTGCTTTCTTCTCTGATTTATTTCTGTAGGAAATTTGCCAGAACAGCAATGACAGTAATGCACCTGGGGCAACGACAAATACACCAAATTCAATGACGATGCGACCAACGCCGTCACCAACTGGAAGCTCAGGATCGAGGTCAATGTCACCAGCCGTACCTCCACAAAATCACCGACCACCTTATCAACAACATCCAGGTGAACAACAACAACAGCAGCAACAACAACAACAACAGCAACCCATCGATCCGGCTGCACAGCAACAACGATCTCCGATGATACCGAATACACAATCGGCCAGCGATTTCTACGAGAAAAGGTATATCCAATGTCGAGTCAATAATGTCGAACAAGAACTAATTTTTGTCATTTGTTTTTTTGTGAAATTTGTAGAAATCTGCAAGGAAATTATCCAACACCTCCTTCACCGCATAAGTATCCGCCACCACCACAAGCAACCGGTCCGAATGCGATGCCACCTCAAGGAATGCCACCATATGGAAGTCAATCGCAGCAGTTTCCACAAGGCAACTATCCTGCACGACCACAATATCCCTCAAATTATGTACAAGGTACGTACTATATCATACGATTCACACAATAATTCACGCAATCATATTTACATTGTTGCTTAAAAAAAATGTACCCATTTTGTTTTATCTCCGTTTACCCATTTCACAGTTAATGGTCCAGCTAACGCACCTCATGTTCCAAATCAAAATCAATACGGCAGACCCATGCCTAATCAAACACAATTCCCACAAGGAAACTATCCGACGCCTCCATCTCCTCATATGCATGGTGCTTACAAAGGTGGTGCAGGTAAAAAGAAACACATCACATTTATCCATATACATATAGTGGATTTCATTAGTTTGGCTCAAAGGGTCGAAATTTTATTTACACTTACTAATTTGTGTTTTCTGTCATTTTTAGTGAACGGACCTGCGCCAAATGCAGCACCAGGTGGCTCACCACGTCCATTGAACCATTTGAAGCAACATTTGCTACACAAAAGTGGATACGGTAATCAAAGCCCAACATCGCCGCAAAGCTTTGGTAATGGGCCGGGAATGCATCAGCCAATGGGTCCCCCACAAATGCAAGCGCCGACACGAATGCAGGTGCGTGTTTAATTGCCATTGAAATAATCCAATTCAAAATTTACACGGAAGAAACTAAACTTGAAACTCTGATTTTTCTCTTCTCTCAGGCACCTGGAAGTATGGGACCACCATTTTCACCGCATCATAATTCACAAGCAGGAAATACTCATCAAGGCGGTAAGCATTTACAATTTCCGCACATCTTTTTCTACACTATTTCCATCGGTGAACATGACTAAAATGTAATTTATTTTATTGTATTGGTATTAGGTATGATCCCGCTTCCCGAATCACAAGATAATGGCATTTCGTCCGGTTCATCGGCATCATCTCAGCATCCTGTAACGTCTATCATTACAACTGGACCGGATGGAACAACGATCGATGAGGCTAGTCAACAGAGTACTATTTCCAATGTCTCAGCAGGTACGATGCAATCCAATTCATGCTCAGCATACAGCATTCATTTTCAACATGTAAACTAATCACTTTCCATATCTATTTACAGCATCAGATCCATCAGATCCGCAATGCTCGACACCAAAACGAAAATCGGAATACAATCAAAGCCATTTGGCGTCAGCCGGCAGTACGCCAACCATGCACGATGATTTCGAAATGGGATCGCCAACGTGGCCACGAACACCAGCTAGTCCTGTTTTCAATAGCCACAGTGAACCAACTCCGCATCGATCATCATCGTCAAAGGTATAATGATGCAGCATCACTCATCGGTTTGAACGTCAAATTTCTAACTTCTTTTTTTTTGTTATTCTACAGCAAAAATCGGACAGTCTGTGTAAATTATATGAAATGGATGATAATCCAGAGCGACGACCCTTCTTAGATAAATTGCTTAGTTTTATGGAAGAGAGACGAACACCGATCACAGCTTGTCCAACGATATCGAAGCAACCATTAGATTTGTATCGTTTATATATATTAGTTAAAGAGCGCGGCGGCTTTCTTGATGTTTGTAAGGTATGTATATCGACCGTGTACTGTACACACAATGTGTCGCAGCATCCATTGCTGCTACACAGTCATGAACATCGAAATGACATTTGTTTATTTCTCTCGTTCGTTCGCTCGTTGCAGGTTACTAAGAGTAAAATATGGAAAGACGTTGCCGGCATGCTTGGCATTGGTGCTAGTAGTAGTGCAGCGTATACATTAAGAAAACATTACACAAAGAATTTGCTCCCATTTGAATGCAACTACGATCGAGGTGGCATCGATCCATTGCCGCTTATTCAGCAAGTTGAAGCTGGTTCGAAGAAGAAAACGCCAAAACCCGCATCAGCTCCATCGCCAGGTAGTTTTTTTTTCGATTACAAATCAATTGTTTTATGCTCTGCATTCTGTTCATGTTCACTAATTTATTTTCAATTTCTTTCAATTTCAGACGCAAACCACAAAGGTTCATCAAATTCACAAGACTCATTTCAAGGTAGGGAAATCGCCAGTGCATTTTTCAACTGAATTGAATCTAATCCGTGTATTTTATTTGTCATTTTAATTTCAGCAGCTCAAATTCAGTCACCGCCTGGCTCAAGCTCTGCATCCATGGATAGTTTTAACGCATATCCACCGCCACCTCAGCAGCAGCAACAACAGCAGCAACCACAGCAACAAGGGCCACAACAACCGATGACAGGCCCAAGCGTTCCAGTGCCACCAAACGCCTATCCACCACAGCCGAACGCAGCCGGTAAATATCGATGCGAATTTTGACTAAAAGCCAATTCGTGAACAACGACAAAAAAGGAGGAGAATTGAGTAATAACGACACATGATTTCGATAAATTTTAGGTGCAGCAGCAACACCTCAGTACCCCGTCGAACAACAGCCGTACGGTCCGACAACTCAACAGCCACCATTTCAACAAGGTCCGCAGCAAAATCAATTTGCAGCGCCAAACCGATATCCACCATACGGCGAAGCACCCGATGCCCGATACAATCAGCATCAGCCGCATCAACCACATCAACCGCATCAGCCAAACCAGCCACACCAGCCGCATCAACCGGTACCACCACCAACAGCCCAACAAAGTGGCGCTCAAGCTCCGCCTGCTTCGCAAACTCCATCTGGACCATTGCCTAATGCACCACCTTCACAGTATCCACAAGGTATGCGCCTAATCGATTACTACAACCGATTCGATTGTCGATTCTAACCTCAATGGTTTTCGTTTCGTTTAGGTCCTCCGCCACAACAGTTTGACTATCGTCAACAAGAGCCACCGCAATCAAGACGTCATCCAGATTTTACAAAAGAATCTCAGTATCCGCCAGCACCAGCTCCATATAATCAACGGCCTCAGCTTTATTCAAATTGGCAAGGCAATGCCAGTCCATCACATTTTAATCGTCAATTTCCTCAGGCACCGCAGCAATGGGGCAATCAACGATTACCAGGACCACCCGTTATGGGTGCACCCGTTCAAAGTTCACAATGGGAACAACATCGTTACCCACCACAAAATGCACAGCCACCTTATCCAGGTATATTTGGTATTATCGAATGACGCGTTCAATTCATAATTTTCGGAATAAATTTGCTAACGAAACCAACACCATTTGTCATTGCAGGTAATCAAGTGCAACCTCCCCAATGGACTGGTATGAATCAATCGCCAATAGGCAATGTTCCGAATGCCATTCGGCCACCGCCTGGTCGCGGGCAAATTCCTGGTAAAAATATTCCCCTCAACATGCCACCGCCACAATCGGCCAAACCGCAAGTCGCACCATTTCCTAGTGCATCGCCTGCCAAACGTGATATTGTCTTTCCAAGTAAGTTGACTCGTTCATTTTTCCAAAAAAACACCACACACAAACACACACACACACATGTTCACATTGTAATTGACCCTGATTCTAATAGTCAAACCTCCCAATCTAGGTGATAGCGTTGAAGCTGTAACACCGTTGCTGTATCGACGAAAGCGACTAGCGAAATCGGATATCGGGCAAACGGATATGTGGCGGATATTCATGTGTCTTCAGTCTGGCCTATTGTCGGAGAGTACGTGGGCACTAGATGTGCTGAACATTTTGTTATTCGACGACTCATCGGTTCAATGGTTTTCGCTGGCATATTTACCGGGACTGCTAAATATGTTGCTGGATCATTTTCAAAAGAGTCTAACCGATATGTTTGACAGTAATAAGTTCAGCGGTCGACCGGCTAAGCCGCAACTAAATGTCGAGAACAAAAAACGATTGTCGATTAAAGGCAATGAAGAGAGAGCAAAAGAAGATGGTGAGAAAGCGGAAGTGGAAGAGGAGGAAGAAGAAGATGGTTTGCTTAAAGATAGCAAAGACTGTGTTGATTTAGGACAAGTTACCAAACAACCAAATCCAAATGATCGATTAGTTGTGCTTCATTCGACGACCAATTATACGATGTGCTCACGCAAAGGCATACCGGTTCGGATAAAGGAAGCCGATGACGATATCTTTGTGCTGGACTCGAAACGCGATTGGGATATTTATACCGATGTCGAGCATCAAATATCCAACACCGGTGCAGTGAATGACATTTGGTCGTATGGTCATACCGAACCCGATCCATATTCGCACATTATCGATCCATTCGAAGGAGAGTTCGTAAACATTCCATTTGCTAGATACATTAAATCAAGTGATAGAAAACGTAAAGCTACTACGACCGACGGATCGAAGAGTGAATCGAATACGGCTACAAGCGATGCACCAAAATCGGCCAATGGTGATAGTAAAAAATCAACTACTGTAAATAGTCCAAATCCTAGTGTAAAAGAAGAGAAGGTCGAAGAGAGTAACGATGAACCGAAAGTGGTTGAAACGACCGATGCCGACAAAGCGGTAAAAATCGAAAAGGCAAACGATGATAATGAGCCGGAGCCAATGGAAACCGATGCCAGCGAAACAACAACAACAACGAAAAAGAGTGACGATACTAGTGTGAAAACTAGTGACAGTGAACCAACCAAAAAAGAGCAATCGCCTGTGATGGACAGTGATTGCCGTGAAGTCGACATGGAACTGGATCGAATTTCGAATGGGCCGCAGAGCAATGAAGCGACTGCCAATGCAAAAGAGAGTGAAAGCCAAAAGTCTGAAAATACGGAGGAGGCACAACCGCCATTCGATGTGAAGAAAACGATACAAGATCCGGCCGAAACGTTGAAACGGCGCCGCATCAGTGATTTCGAAGATGAATGCTATGCACGCGACGAAGCTTCTCTATACTTAATAAGCGAGAGTCAAGACACGGTGGCACGACGCTGTATATCGATATCGAACATTCTACGAAATTTGACATTCGTTCCCGGCAACGAAACCGTGTTTGCAAACTCCGAAACATTCCTGGCAATTCTTGGCCGCATTTTATTGCTGCATCACAAGCATCCGGTGCGAACGCAAACCATTCGTAACTATGATCGCGAGGATGATAACGATTTTTCCGATTCGTGCAGCAGTTTGCAGGGTGAAAGTGAATGGTGGTGGGATTATTTGGTGCAGTTGCGTGAAAATATGATGGTTGCCGTCGCCAATATTGCCGGTCACATGCAATTGGCCAACTACGATGAACTCATTGCACGACCATGCCTCGACGGTTTGTTGCACTGGGCCATTTGTCCATCGGCCCATGGACAGGATCCATTCCCATCGAGCGGCCCGAATTCGGCTTTGTCACCGCAGCGATTGGCATTGGAAGCACTCTGCAAGATTTGTGTAACCGATGCAAATGTTGATTTAGTGATTGCAACACCACCATTCTCACGCCTCGAAAACCTATGCTCCGTACTGACACGGCATCTCTGCCGAAATGAAGATCAAGTGCTGCGCGAATTTTCCGTCAATTTGCTCCATTATTTGGCATCGGCCGAAAGTTCAATGGCACGAACGGTTGCCCTGCAAAGTCCATGCATTTCGTATTTGGTGGCGTTTATCGAACAAGCCGAACAAACTGCACTGGGAATTGCAAATCAACACGGCATCAATTATCTGCGAGAGAATCCCGATTCGATGGGCACAAGTTTAGATATGCTTCGCCGAACGGCTGGTACATTATTGCATTTAGCACGGCATCCAGACAATCGGCCGCTATTTTTGCAGCAAGAACAACGGCTACTCGGTCTTGTGATGAGTCACATCTTAGATCAACAGGTTGCGCTAATCATATCGAGAGTATTATTTCAAGTGTCACGCGGCGGTGGTTTGTGTGAATCACCGGTAAAAAAGGTGAAACAACGACCGATGCCACACAGCAACGGTAAACTAGCTCTAAATACTGAATCGTCTATTCCAGTGTCATAATAGCAAGTGAACGGTTTAACCCGATCAACCAGTCTGTGTTCCTTCAACAAATAGAAATGTTTTGAACGTGTAATATAGTTGGAAGGATTTAGCGGCACGCGCCCATGTAACATACGGAGAAACGAAGAAACAACAAAAACACAAACCATCCGATCCAGATCGACTTTCTCTCTATCTCTCTTCAACTCTCTCATACACACAAACTGTTTGTAGCGCGCTATAACGAACCAGTAGACAAAATATCGTAGAATGTGTTATGTTCACAACCATTTTTATTCAACCTTTTCTTCGCATTAAATCTATGCAAGCAAACAGAAAATTGTGCATAAATTATTTGCTATGTGACCCACTGAACAGATAGACAAAAAGAAAACCGTTAACAAGTAAGGAGTTAATATAAATTAGTAAAGAGAAAACTGCATTGCTAAACACAAATTATTAAAAGGAAAAAAAAAACAAAATATGATTATAAATTGTAGTCTCTAAGCTAAAATGCTATTCGGATTTGTACTTTAAAACAAAAGAAAAATTTCCCGTTAGAGATCTGACAAACAATAATACAGACAGGCAGACAGACAAAGAATGTTACATTGTACGTATATATTTCAAATGTTTGCATATAAACGAAACACTGGTCAACTTGCAAAAACAAAAAACGCATACGGGCAGACATGATGATATTTGGCAAGCAAATCTTGAAAAAACAAGAAGAAATTGTAAAATAAACATAAGAAATTTTAGTTGTAAGCTAGTGAAAAAGGAGAAAGAAAAAAAGTACGACATTCGCGAGATAAAGACACGATATGCATTCATTTAGATCGACGACAATGATGACAGCGGCATTGGAATCAAACACAAAACCCACAATTCCATAACTGTATATGTGTGGTGACATGTATCGTGTGTTCTAACAAACTACGGGATTTGTGTTGACGACGCCAACCATTCGACTCAATCTAACAAAGGAAATTTTGAAAGTGAAAAAAATGAAGAAATGAATACATTCAGTGAAGTGATCGACTCATAAATAAATAACAATTGTAAATAGAAAACATGTAGAGGATAAATTTGTAGCGCTAAACTAACAGAAAAAAAAGAGAAACCAACAGCAACAACATGATCTAATTCCTATATGATAAAAAATGGATTCACCAGATTTATTTTCCTTTTTTTTTAAACACTCTTTAGTTTCGTCCCATTGAGCATATACGTGGAATGTGTGACTGAATGAAATGTAATCTATATTCATCGAACCATATTTTTTTTATTATTTGCAAGGATTTTATCGAATTTGTCATTTCGTCAAGAATTTTTTTTTTTATTATTTTATGAACCATAATGCTGTTTCTTTTTTTTTAAACCAATTGACGTTGGCTGTTTGTAATTTCTGTATTTAATGACGATTGAAATTTGTGTTTTTGGACCAAAATGAACGGAATCACGGCGACACACAAAAAAAATACAAACCATGTTAACACAATCGAATCAAATTTCGATCAAAACCTTTGCAAAACGCGAAAATCTAACGAGAGAAAAAAACTTTTTGATGAGATGAAAAAAAAAATAAACGAAGTGAAAAACAAATTCTATCTAAACTATAAATAGAAAAAGAGACAAAATGAAAACAGGGATTGGATTTTTAAATTTTAATATTTAATTGTCGTAGAAATTTAATTATTTTAAATTGCAAATGAATGAAAAACCTATACATTATCGAAAAATAAAATGTGTAAATTTAATTGAGAAAGAAGAAAAAAAGAACCGTTCGAAACGAAAATAAATATGGCTTCGTATCGAGCACACAACTTTTTGAAAATATTCCCATTTGATTGGGTGAAATAATTTCCGCGATAAAAACAAAAACAACAACTCTCGAATCCGAATTACCCGTTTGTTGACTAAGTGAACTTAAAGTGCGCGTTGGTTTTTCATTGTTCAGACGAGAAAATTCAGTCAATGACAGATAGCTGAGGATATATGCTGAGCATAGAAACTC